CAATCAGGCAGGCAGGCAGAGTGGTTAGGGGCGATTAGGCAGGCAGGCAGAGGCGGTTTGGGTAATCAGGCAGGCAGGTGAGCAATTAGGGGCCATCGGGCAGGGAGGCGAGTGGTTAGGGGCTACTAGGCAGACAGGCAAGTGGTTAGAAGCATCAGGCAGGCAGACAGATGCGGTTAGGGGCAATCAGGCAGGCAGGTGAGTGGTTAGGGGCGATCAGGCAGGCAGGCAAGCAGTTAGGGGCAATCAGGCAGGCAGGCAGAGTGGTTAGGAGCCAGCAGTCCTGGATTGCAAGAGGGATATCTGACTGTCAGTTTAGGCCCTATCCCGCAGGGATCCCTGTGGGATCGGGCCTAAACTGGCAGTTGAACATCCTCCGAGGGGTCCTGGATTGCGAGAGGGTGCAGGCCTTGCTGAGGGACCCCCACTCCCACCCCCATGCACGAATTTCATGCACCAGGCCTCTCTCTGTATATAAAAAGCCAGTGACCAGAACACTGGAATGACCAGTTGCTATGACACCCACTGCATCTGGCCAACCGGCTCAATCGGGGGCGGGCCCAGCCAGCCAACCTCCCACGTCCTCTCCCCCCAACCAGCCCGGCCCCAATCGGCCCCCATCAGGGTGGGCCGGCTGGACCCCACCCATTTATAAATTCATGCACCAAACCTCTAGTACCTTGTAACAAACATAGGCCTAAATAGAGGTCCAGCCTAATCCCTATCCCTAATTCTAAACCAAAATAAATCATACCCTAGCCCTAGCCTTAATCCTAACCCAAAATTTACACCTAAACCTTACAGTATACCTAATCCCAATCCTAACCCTGGCTCTAAACCTAACCCTAATCCTAACCCAGGCTCTCTCCTAGGTCTAACCCTATCCCTAACCTTAAACCTAACCCTAGCCCTAACCCTAAACCTAAATATAACCCTAGTCCTAGTCTAAACCTAATTGTAAACCTAACCCTAAACTAGACCTACCCTTAACACCCTAAACTTAATATTAACCCCAACTCTAAACTTAGACCTAAACCAGTGGTCGGCAAACTGCAGCTCCTTGAGTGTGGCTCTTCCACAAAATACCACGTGCGGGTGCGCACGTACAGTGCGATTGAAACTTCGTGGCCACACTCAAGGGGCCAAAGAGCCACATGTGGCTCGCAAGCCGCAGTTTGCCGACCACTGACCTAAACAAATCTAACCCTGAACCTAACCCTAGTGCTAATATTAACCCTAACCCTAACCCTAAATCTAGCCTTAGACGGTGCTTTAAATTTAACTCTAATGCTACCCTACCACTAAACTTATCCCCATCACTAACCCTAGCCATAGACCTAATCATAATCCAAGCCTAACTATAGTCCTAACACTAATTTTAATGCTAACCCAAACCCTAGGTCTAACCCTAACACTAGCCCTAGCACTTGCCCTAACTCTAACCTTAATTCTAAACCCACACTAATACTAACCCTAAACCTAGCCCTAAACTTATCCTTAACCCTAGCCCTAGCCTTTACCCTAGCCCTAAACACTTTCCTAAACCTAGCCCTAACTTTAGTCTTAGTTCTAACTCTATCCCTATCCCTGTAATTAACCTTAACTGTAGACCTTGCCATACTCCTGAACCTAGCCCTAGCAATAGCTCTAATTGTAGCCCTAACTATACCCTAGTCCTAATGCTAACTAATAATAGCCTTAACCCAAATCCAAAATCTAGCCCTAGACTTTGCTTTAAATTTAGCCCTAATGCTAACCCTAAGTCTAAC